TACATTTAATGAAGATTTTGGAGAGTCAAAATCCAACGGATATGTTGACGAAGGCAGTCACTATTGAGAAACTGGAGTTGTGCGTAACTTCAGTTGGCCTTCACGAGTAGAAGACGAAGGCGGAGCCACACTACGAGGATCGGCGCGATCGCTGGGATATTGTTGATTGAAGAAAGGATTTTTTCGGGGAGGAGAAGATACATGCAAAGAAGGGGAGAGTTCGGGTGAACTCACTGAAGGCACTTTGGTCTCCAAGTGGGAGATTGTTAGTCTAAAGTGTAGACCTAAAGTTGAAGCCAAGCTAAAATCAAAATGAGGGAGAAAAACAGCCAGACAGATCCACAGTCGACCGCGAGTCTGCGATGGTCGACCGCGAACGTGCACAAGAGCTCAGGAGGAGCTGGATCTGAAGGCGGTAGACCGTGACGGTCGACCGCACCAACCCTGTAATCGATTTAAGTCTCTGTTGTTTGATATGGTCGACCGCGACTGGTGTGCGGTCGACCGCGATACCTACGCGGTCGACCTTCACGATCGACCGCGACGCAATCAGCCTGTTTCCTAAAAAGTTTTGGATTCTGTTTCTTTCATGACTCTGTATATATACCCAAACGTTTTAGGGTTTAATATGAACACGAAAAAGAGAGATTTTTGACTGTAGAAAGAGAGAGAATCTCAGAGAGATAAAACCCTAGTTTGAGAGCTTGTATTTCCTATTCAATCAATAAAGGAATTGTGTGGTGTGGCTCCCGAGGACGTAGGCACGTTGCCGAACCTCGTTAAATCTGTGTTCGTCTCCTTTATTATTCCTACAAGTTTTGATCTTTATTTGAGGTGAATTTTTTGTTGGCCTTCTTGTTTTGATGATGTTTAACAAACAATTTATTACTAATGTTGTTTGTCTAGTGTTTAATTGGCATTTAATCGGATTAGATTAGCATAAGACCCTAATCACCCCCCCCCCTCTAGGGTTTAACATTTTTTCCTACTTTCCTACTTACAGCACAAGGTCCGGAAGGGCAAGGATTCAATTTGATCGTTTCGGATTCCCCAACACAATTTCCAGAAGAGCAAAGTAGAAATTTGAAAGCTCCGTTGCTTGAAGGCTAAAGAGGGTATTTTTTTTCTTTTTATTAGATTAGATTAAATTATTTTCTTTTTATTCGATTAGATTAAATTATTTTAAAGCAATTAATTATATTATATGTTTGATCTTTCTTTTTATATCAAAAAATAGCAATAATTTTCACATCACCTTCATCTATTTTTTTCTTATTAGATTAGATTAGATTATTTTAAAGTACTTAATTATATTGCATGTTTGATCTGTTTTCATATCAAGAAATTGCAATAATTTTTCACAACACTTTCATCTCCTTCAATACGTATGTGCCTTTGTTATTTTTTCTAATTAAATTAAATATTTGACAAAGTTTAATTATACTATTATTATTTAAAGAGTTGCTTTTTGTATAAAAGTCAAAGAGAATCTCACAGGTATCTTAGATCATAATACCAATTGTAATACTTATATATGGATGTTGGTTAAAATAAATTTCATGTATGTGGTTAGCTTATATGATCCTATTTTAACAGGATTATATAGTTTAACATTTTTTCTTTACACCTGAACTCTACCACAAAACCAAAAGAGAGTAGCTATATATATCCATATAACCACAAATATCCTGAAAATGAACGAAAAAAACCACATAAACAAAAACCATATTACTTACCCACATACACCCACTATTTTCAAAACTACACTTCTTCATATCCATCGATAATATATCCACATCTAAACCCAACTTAAGTTGTTGGAGTCTCCCTCTCACCAACTACACTATTGATCAATCCTTCTTTTTTCCTTTATACTTAAATTGTATAACATCCATTGTGATAAGGACTCACCTAGTTCTGTCTGCCTTGAACACACAATAAAAAAAATATAATAGACATTGTAGTTAAATAATAACGAGATTCTGTTATTATAAATAAATTAAGTAAAGATTAATAGTTCTTAAGAATGTACTACGTTCCACTAGCTTCCACTACAAACTTATTAGTTGTTTATTCTGGCCCCAATAGATTTTTAAAATTAATCTTGAGGGTTGTTTGCATTAAAAAGTTATGTTAGAGGGCTCATACAGTCTGTTTTATAGTTTAAGATTGTCAACACATTTTATCTCTGATACATATCAATTATAAATAGTAACATAATTTCATTGATTCAAGTATATCTTAATATATTTTTTGACTCTTGTCTTGTCTTTTGCTCTTTATTATATACAAACCCAACAATTCTTATTTAATTCTTCTTTCTTTTTTATCTCTTGACATTGTCTTTTGTTCTTCATTATGTACAAAATCATTTTATGGATTAGGGTTATGGCTTTTGAGGGGGAGCACAAGACAAATGGGTTGATTTTGGTGTTGGACTTCATTATTTGAAGGAGTTAATTTCATGAAACCCCCCAAAACTTTGGGGGTGTTGCACATAACCACCTAAACTTTATTTATGTCACTTAACACCCCTCCCAAAAATTTTTTGGGGTGTTGCACATAACTCCCCACCCTCGAAAAATTTTTACCTTATCTCACATAGCTCCCCTGCTTGTAATTTTTGAAAAACTAAAATTTCGAGGGAGTGAGTATGTTGCATCTAAACGACAATTGACGAAGTTTGAGATTTTTTTACTCAAGAATATTTTAGTTATTTACAAATTACATGAATGTGGATTATGTGAGATAAGATAAAGTTCAGCGGGATTTTGCGAGACACCCCATAGTTTAGTGGATTTATGTGAGACAAACATAGTTTAATGGGGTTATGTGCAACAACCCCCAAAGTTCAATGGGGTTTGTGAAATTAATCCTTATTTATAGAAAGAAAATAGATTTGGGTTGTATTTGGGCCCTAATAGAAAAGCCCAATGTTGTTTCTTGGGCTTCTAATTAGGATACCATACAAACAAAAACCATTTACCCAACCACACACCCGCTATTTCGAAAACTAACATCTATCATATCCACAACTCGAAACGCCCAAACTATATTATAGTTAATATTAATCTTTAGTTTTCTTCCTTTTATTATTTTAAGTCTATCAAATAATGTAAAACAATATCATATTTTTTTTTAATCTTTGCTTTTGAGATTGTTTATTATAAAACATGAACTTATAATGTTTAAAAGTGTTGTGTAATTATGTTTTCAACACAATAAAAAAGGTGGTTTCTTTATTGCTAGAAATACAGTTCATAATGATATTGTTATTAATGCTTGACTCCATATTATAGCTTGGGATTAGTAGAGTTTGGAATATGACATGTAGTATCAATTTAACTTATTTTCTTTTACTATTCTACTTGAAGATATTATTATGTTTGGAATATGACATGTAGTATCAATTTAACTTATTTTCTTTTACTATTCTACTTGAAGATATTATTATGTCAATTGATATATTTATCTTAGGGAATCAATTAAGATATCCCAGTTAACTATATTGATCCTAGTTTAGCATAAAAATCCATTACATTGATTTTATAATATTTAAATAAAAAATATAGCAAATCTAATAATCAAAATGAATCTGACTTATTAATAATAATAAAATAAATAAAAAAATAAATTATTTTAATATTTAACCATGCGTATTGCACGTGCATAAAAACTAGTGTCTAAATATGCATAAGTCATGGGCTGCAGCTAGAAATATTCTGCATGTGCAATTATAAGCTACGACCGAATCCAACATGTCTTAGTTACACATAAATGCAGTTGCAACGCGTACAGTTATTACAACAAGTGCTAAACATTTCCTAAATTCAAAATTTTATTACATGAGCTCGAGATCCAAATTATTCAATATTTGATATTTCTGCATAAACATGTCAATTTCCAGAAGAGCAAAGTAGAAATTTGCAAGCTCCATTGCTTGAAGGCTAAAGAGGGTGAAAGAAGATAAGTTATTTTAGTGGGTTCCGGTGATCAATTTTTTTTACTGTCGTCATTTCTCAAAAAGAGATAAAGCTTATATATAGAGGCCTTTTACACTAATCACCTCCACTTCAAAAAATTACTGCCTCCATAAAATTGTCCAATTATTCACTTTCCCCTCATTAGTGCAGCCTGTTGAAAAGTGGGTAACAAACTCTCACAAATTAATCCACAAATTAATCCCTGAGTATTTTGGTCGACTTGGTCAATCTAAACTAACATTGCTCCTTTTTCATTTGTTTTTTTCAGCAATATATGTCATATTCGAATATGAAGTAATCAATCCCTTTCTTCCGAAGAATCCAAGAAGTAAAAGGTTAGCTAGAGGGAGAAGTATTAAGGTATCTTCTATTTGAATATTCCTTATGATGCTCTTGCTTCTTCCATCCAAAAATCAACACTCTATTTTAGCTATACATGTCAAAGAATTGTCAAATGAGAATTTTTCGAATCTAGTCCATATAGTTATTAGCTTCATGAAAATATACTCACAAGAATGAATCTTTATAATTAGAATAAGTTGTTATGTTTCACACTACATACTTTATACATTATCCTTTCTCTCTCTTATTTTCAAAGGTAATTAGACATTTTATGCAAACCATTGACATCTTTAACAATATTTTTTCAGTTGTTCATGATACTTTTGTGCGGTTGGAAAATTTATGGTGGCTTCCTCTAGTAATGCAGAAACTCCAAAGTTCAAAGTAGTTTTGTGAAATTTCCAAAAAAAATTATTTTGACCCTTGGGTGATACGAGGGTGTGTTTAGTGGAAAACTGCAGCCATAATATATTCTACTCTCATAAATTTCTACCTTCCTAAACCTGAAAATCCCATAGAAAAAGATCTAACAGTAACCTGAGGAATAAATTGGTAAATATGAAGATAAAGAAGGTTAAATTTAAAAATACCATAGTTTTGAAATATATGTGTAGGCCAAAACCCCTCTATAAATTTACCACATACTCTCCTTTGCTAACAAAGAACCAGCAAACAATGGGAAGCATAAATCCTGAACAGCCAACCTCAGCGACATTATGTGCAGTGGTGACCGGAGCTAACAGAGGAATCGGCCTGGCAATCACTCGCCAGCTGGCCGAAAAAGGCGTTACAGTTGTTCTAACATCAAGAAATGAGATGCACGGGATATCCGCACTTCAATCCCTTCGACGGGAATTGAATTTTTCAAACATAATATTTCACCAGCTCGACGTTCAGGATCCTGTCAGTGTAGCTAATTTGGTTGAGTTCATTGATATTCAGTTCGGGAAACTTGATATTTTGGTAAGTTTTAGTATCATATGGAGAATATTTAATTATGTCGACATGTGTATTTGAATCAATGTTGATGTGTATGTCTGCAGGTGAATAATGCAGGGGCTCCTGGGGCTTCGGTTGATATTGAGGGGTTAAAGGGGCTTAATATTGATGCTGAATCGTGGGTAGATACTTGAAAACTTTGTATATGATTCATGTCTATGATTTGGATCAATGAAATTGGAAGATAATTTCTTTATGTTGATGTGCACCTAGAATGTTATGTGCACGTATCAGTAAATCACTGAATAAGAGACAACAAAACTACTTCTGACATAACTGGGATTTTGTCAGTTCTAACTAAAAATTAGTGATATAGAATAAGAATTTGTAAATGCACCTTTCAGTTATGAATCACAACAATGAAATGATGATTCCTAATCTTATTGCAGCTTTCTGGAAAGGCGTCAAATATAGTTCAAGGATTCATCAGATGCACATATAGTGATGCCTTGACATGCTTCGATACAAATTATTACGGGTGCAAAAGAATGACAGAAGCTTTCCTTCCTCTTCTCAAATGCTCCACCGAAGGTGCAAGAATTGTCAATCTCTCTTCTCTCAGAGGAGAGCTCAAGGTATTTAAAAAAAACTGTAAACCCCTCATTTATACCTTCAGTTGCACTAAACATCCCTCAACTCATTTACTAGACCTTAGTCCCCCTCAATTCATGAGGAAGCGGGGTGTTATTTACAATTTATCTTTTTAAAAATGTTAATACAGGATTGCTAATTGCTAGTAAATGAGTTGAGGGGTGTTCAGTGCACCTGAATGTATAGAGATTTTTTTTGGTTGTGTGTGTGTTTTTTGGGGGTGGGGCTTTTTTCCTTTTTTCTTTGTTCTTTTTGTGTGTGTGTGTGTGTGTGTTGGGGGGCAATTTACCCAAAAACTATACACAATGACTTCACAAACTCCCTTGGAATGAAAAATATAATGTACATACTATTTCATTTACTCTTATCAGAGAATCCCCAATCAGAAGATAAGAGACAACTTCGACGACATTGAGAATTTGAATGAAGAAATTATAGAAAATATGCTGAAAAGATTCATGGATGACATGAAGGATGATAAACTCGAATCCCGTGGATGGCCAACAACGGTACCGATATATAGCATATCAAAGACGGCACTGAATGCATATACAAGAATCATTGCTAAGAGGCATCCTCAGATGTATGTTAATTGTGTGCACCCAGGATTTGTTAAGACCGATTTAAATTTTAATATGGGGATAATTGGTACTGAAGAAGGAGCTAAAGGTCCTGTAATGTTGGCTTTGGTGCCTGCAAATGGACCTTCAGGGTGTTATTTTGTTCAGACTACCATTTCGGAGTACTAGGAAATAATTAAACAAGAGTATTAGTTTGTTAAGTTATGTATCGAGCTAGCTGAGGTTTGAAATAAAATTCCGTAGAAAGTTTTACTCTTCTTGTAGCAACTGTGACGAAATGATACATAAAAAATATGAAAAATGGCAATTTGTATTTACCCAAATGCGATGAATGTCAAGTGCTCATATAAAACTATGTGTTTGTGCCGGTGGAATTGTGGAAACTTATAGAAAGCATAGTCAGAGAAATCTTAAGCCATGTAATCATTAACGCTAATATCAAATTAAGTCTACAAATGTGGTTTAGTCCCACATCGGCTACAGTTTGAATTCATAGGTTTTTATATTCGAAAACGCAAGGCATGATAGCATCACTTCGGAGACATCCGATAAAATTGGAACGATACAGAGAAGATTAGCGTGGCCCCTTTGCAAGGATGACACGCTCAAATCAAGAAATGGCCCAATTTTTTTTTTAATTTCCTCCCCCTTCAACATCGTTAAAATTTCTAGGGTTTCCCCCTCTCTTTCGCCACAAGTTCTTAACTTTTTATTTTTTGCTTCCTTATTGTCTTTGAATCGCATCAGCAATCTAATAAAGTATGACAAATTTCAAAAGAGCCTTATTTGCAAACTTATTCCATAAAAACGACCACTTTCAACTTTATTTGTCAAAACCGACCTAGTTTAAGTCCCAAGGCTGAAACCAGGTCGGTTTTGACGAAAAAAGTTCCCAAACTTCACGGGAATTCAAGTCCCATGAAGTTTAGCAGCTATTTTGTTAAGCTGCTAAACTTTACGGGACTTGAAGTCCCGTGAAGTTTTAGGCTCATTTTCGAGAGAAGCGAGACTCTGGAAAATGAGAACTGCAACTCCACGGGACTTGAAGTCTCGTGAAGTTTTCGATCTGCCTATATAAGGCAGAGGCGATCTCGACCCATAACCCTAGCCCCTCTCCTCCTCTTGAACCCGACCCCCTCACCCCTGGCCCTCACCCCCTCCCCCACCCCCTCCCCTCACCGGGCCGCTAACGACCTATCGCCGCCGACTTCACCCGGCAATCCGCGGAGCATCGGCCGGCCCTCACCGCCATTGTCACCGCCGGAGTTTACCGGAATTAGGGCATCGTCTAAGGTAAAATCTTTAAAAAAATTAATTCAAATTTTTATATATTCTCACAATTTCTTGATGATTACTTGTAAAAAATTAGATTTTTAAATAAATTTTAATTATTTATTAAATTTGTGAAGAAAAATTAAATAATATTGTGTATAAAGTTAGAGGGAAAATTATCGAAATTTGTAACCGTGAAGTTAACAACATGTCAAGTTTATGGGTTTCTAATATCGATCTAAGAGATTTAATGGTTAAAATTATGGGTTTCTAATTATGAGTTTCTAATATTGATATTGAACTTTTTACTCTTCAGAGATAACGATGAACGATCGAATCATAATTCTTTGTTCATATGATGGGAAGATTAACTATCTCGAAAATAATATGCCCGTTTATGAAGGAGGTGTCACGAAACCATTGTTTATATCAAAATCGTTTACTTTTAATGAATTGGTTAATGACTTACACAAACTTACATCAACCAACTCACGTGAGTATCGCCTCAATATTATTTTGCAATTATCCTATTGGGGGGAACAGAACAAGCGGTATTCAAATCTCAACTGGCTATGATATGGGTCTCATTGGAGTATTACATGACGAGAAGCGTTCAGTGGAATTATTTATTGAAAAACATCAGAGAAATTTGGGCAAATCGGTGAATCACGACGAAATATACTCTCGCATGTTAGAGGACCTTGAAGTTGACTCCGTTGGCTTTTTATCTCCGTAACAAGATGAAGGTTGGACACAGTCACAATACGTGAGCGGTCCTTCGTTTGTGAGCCCTTCTAATATCGATACCAACACGGCTCATCTAGATGATAATGCAAGTATCGAATCCGAGGATGGTGATAAAGAGGATGGCTTACAAATTAATAGCATGACGTGTTTGATTGATCGTGATGAAGGGGACAACCAACACATTGACGGATGTTATACTAATAATGAGTATGTCGTGTTAGAGGATCTGCCACTCGATGAACTTCATGAAGAAGAATGGATTGATAACTCCACGATGGAAAGTATTCCTATCGGCACTAATATCGTTGATGATATACAAGGCGAGGACTTCTTATTCAAGAAGGGGGATCTATTTGAAAGTAATGATAAATTGATCCATGCGCTTCGTTTGTGGGCTATTGAAAAAAATGTCAAGTTTAGACCAATAAAAAATAACGCAACAAGCTATAATGTGGGCCATTGAAAAAATATCAAGTTTAGGCTATTGAAAAAAATGTTTTATCTTATTTCAGTTCAAGTGGAGATCCTATTCACCGTCGGAGCTCGATTTGCATACTCTTGCACTTATCTGTCAAGATAGTCCCGACTTGTGGAGAGACAGAGTTCCATTGATCTGTTGGGAGATTGTGGAGATGCATGCCCCCGATCGTGTGCTACGATAATTTCTGCTCTCTCAGCATGTGCCGGATCCTGTCGAGCAGATCGATCGTAGGCGAAGACCTACATCGCATCGTACGGACTAGGCTGTACTCCGTGCGGTCTACATAGACAGGTGGATTCATAGGTGGGATTTCATATAGGATACGAGAGACACAGCTGTTGACTATACCGCGTATATGCATTGGTGTTGGGATGTCACACGTAGAAGGGTCACTGTGACCCACAACCATCAGTTGGACACCTGCCACACCCACCGACAGATAGTTACATCACTAGTGGGATGATCGAGAGAGATTATGTAAGTTTCTAAGCTAAATTAAAACCGTAATTTTTTTATTAAGATGTTATTTGCTAAATTGTGTATATATTGTTTAACTCGCAGGTCCGTGCTTTTGATGACATTGAAGCTAATATTGATGAGCACATGCCTGAGATTCAGGATCCGGCAGCGTTAGGGGTCTTCAACAGGATCAAGTAGAGAATAGCACATGTGTTTCATAAGACTCATGTTGACGAATTTACAGGCCGCGATGACAGGTCTCGATCATTTGGGCAAATGTACATGCGACGACGTAGGCCACATGACGATGACGATGGAGCCGACACTTCGCATGCTGATGGAGCCGGTACTTCTCAGCCTCATACACAACCAGATACTCAGATAATCGAGGCTGTACATGCACGATGGCTGCCACTGCTAGAGGATTTTGGTGTATACAGTGCACTATCATGGGGCAGTATAGTGTTGGCATACTTATATAGAGAATTGGGTAGGGTATCCTAGATGCAGAATAAAGAATCCAAGGGATGCTGCACATTGATACAGATTTGGTCATGTGAGCGCATTTATATTGGATGACCTACTTTGATTGTAAACTGTAACCTACAGGGCCAGTTTCCTTTGATATACAAGTATAATCGTCCACACAATTTTATTCATATTGAATTTGTACTCATATATTCTTTATGCTAAATAGGTATAACATGCAGTACGCTAAGTACAAATCAACAATGTGACATCGTGAGTTTTACCGAAATGAGCTTGATGGCCTCCAACACGAACATGTAAATATAAATCTCAAGTCGTTATGAATATTATAGTTTTGTTGTTGATACTTATAAATGTTTTATCTTATTTTAGTTCAAGTGGAGACCTTATTCACCGTCAGAGCTCGATAAGCATACTCTTGCACCTATCTGTCGAGATAGTCTCGACTTGTGGAGAGCCAGAGTTCCATTGATCTGTTAGGAGATTATGGAGATGCAAGTCCCCGATCGTGTGCTACGGCAATTTTTGCTCTTTCAGCATGTGCCAAATCCTACCGACAGATAGTTACATCCCTAGTAGGATGATCGAGAGAGATTATGTAAGTTTCTAAGCTAAATTAAAACAGTAATTTTTTTATTAAGATGTTATTTGCTAAATTGTGTATATATTATTAATTCGTAGGTTCGTGCTTTTGATAACATTGAAGCTGATATTGATGAGCACATGCTTGAGATTCAGGATCCGACGACGTTAGGGATCTTCAACAGGATCAAGCAGAGAATAGCACAGGTGTTTCATAGTTTCATGTCGACGAGTTTGCAGGCCGTGAGGACATGTCTCAATCATCTAGGAAAATGTACACACAACGACGTAGGCCACGTGACGATGACGATGGATCCGACACTTCGCATGCTGATGGAGCTGGTACTTCTCAGCCTCATATACAACCAGATACTCAGATAATCGAGGCTCATCAGCTGGAACGTAGGGGGTGGGGAAGAGCGAGGGGAAGGGAGAATAGAGGGAGAGGAATGAGAGGAGGAATTTTGGGTTGATTTGTAACTTTTATGATTTTTCAAATACTATACTTTTGTGGATCAATTATTGTTTATATATGTGATCTTCGTGAGTATTGTTTGATTCGTGTTTAATTCATGTCTGAATTTTAAGAATATTGTTGTAATTCAGTGTATATGAGATTGGTTATTGTTCACATGTGTATTTTCGTGATTATTGTTTGATTCAGTATGTATTGTTTGATTCATGTAAATCGATTGATTCATGAAGAAAATTTCATGTATATTTGTTGTGTAATGCATTTAGGAGTTACATTGCGTATATAAAAAACATGCACACAACTTGTTGTGCATGTTTTTTAAAACCTGCAGCTTCACGGGACTTCAAGTCCCGTGAAGTTTTTTTACCTTTGAAACTTTACGGGATTTGAAGTCTCGTGAAGTTTTTGAACTTTGAAACTTCACGGGACTTCAAGTCCCTTGAAGTTTTGCAGCTTAACAAAATGGCTGCTAAGTTTGGGAACTTTTTCGCCAAAATCGACCTGATTTCAGCCCTGGGGCTGAAACCAGATTGGTTTTGACAAATAAAGTTGAAAGTGGTCGTTTTTGAGGAATAAGTTTGCAAATAGGGCTTTTTTAAAAATTTGTCCAATAAAGTAAGTTCTTAATACTAACATCTCTTGCTCTTTTCAATTCGAATCATC